ATGTAGATTTGATTCAATTAGAATGCAAACAAAAAATTCATTTTGAATTAAGTTGTGAAAAAATTGGAAAAGTTCGAATATATATATATATATATTTAAAGTGTATAATTAGAAAAGTCTCATTTGGGGCCAGGTAAAGGGGGGATTGGAAAACTTCTGGACAAAATATTTTCAACCAGCTCCACTGTGAATTTCTACTGATTTTAATGGGAGCTTAAGACACTCAGGGCCAGATTTTCAGAGGGTTTAGGCACAGAAAGAATGCAGATAGATTCATAGATTCATAGATTCTAGGACTGGAAGGGACCGCGAGAGGTCATCGAGTCCAGTCCCCTGCCCGCATGGCAGGACCAAATACTGTCTAGACCATTCCTGATAGACATTTATCTAACCTACTCTTAAATATCTCCAGAGATGGAGATTCCACAACCTCCCTAGGCAATTTATTCCAGTGTTTAACCACCCTGACAGTTAAGAACTTTTTCCTAATGTCCAACCTAGACCTCCCTTGCTGCAGTTTAAGCCCATTGCTTCTTGTTCTATCCTTAGAGGCTAAGGTGAACAAGTTTTCTCCCTCCTCATGACACCCTTTTAGATACCTGAAAACTGCTATCATGTTCCCTCTCAGTCTTCTCTTTTCCAAACTAAACAAACCCAATTCTTTCAGCCTTCCTTCATAGGTCATGTTCTCAAGACCTTTAATCATTCTTGTTGCTCTTCTCTGGACCCTTTCCAATTTCTCCACATCTTTCTTGAAATGCGGTGCCCAGAACTGGACACAATACTCCAGCTGAGGCCTAACCAGAGCAGAGTAGAGCGGAAGAATGACTTCTCGTGTCTTGCTCACAACACACCTGTTAATACATTCCAGAATCATGTTTGCTTTTTTTTGCAACAGAATCACACTGTTGACTCATATTTAGCTTGTGGTCCACTATAACCCCTAGATCCCTTTCTGCCGTACTCCTTCCTAGACAGTATGTCACACATTCTGTATGTGTGAAACTGATTTTTTCTTCCTAAGTGGAGCACTTTGCATTTGTTTTTGTTAAACTTCATCCTATTTACCTCAGACCATTTCTCCAATTTGTCCAGATCATTTTGAATTATGACCCTGTCCTCCAAAGCAGTTGCAATCCCTCCCAGTTTGGTATCATCCGCAAACTTAATAAGCGTACTTTCTATGCCAATATCTAAGTCGTTAATGAAGATATTGAACAGAGCTGAACATTGAATCATGATCAGTTAGACTGTCATCTGATCACCAGAGATGAGTAGTAAAAGTAGTACCATCACTGTCTGTTGTCAATATTGTGCTTTGTGTTCTGCTACTCCTCTGGCTGAATGGTATTGATAGCTTTAAAAGGAGTCCAATTTTGTTTTAGAAAGATGGTGACTGGATAATAGGCATGTAAAGTGGAGAGGAACTAAGGAATCACAAAGCTCCAAAAGGAAAGTGGTAGATTCCTGATGGGGATCAGGAGTTAAAACAACCAGCGTCCTTTCTTCACTGATAGAATTAACTGGGGAAATGGAATAGAATAATGCTGCCATTTCTAGTGATGTGCAGCAACAGAAATAACTGGTGAATCGTTGTTGTCTTTATATATTATATTAAAGTGGTTATTTTACAGGGAAGTGCTTTAACAAAGATCACTGAAGAAATACAGGGGATCACTTATGCACTGACACTTTTTTTATTATTGCGACAAGGCCATTCATTGCCGGAATGTAACCACTGTCATCGCAAATTCATGGATGCAGCTCAGTTAAAGAAACATCTAAGAACACATACAGGTATATATTACACACCATTTTTCTTTCAAGGAATGCTAAGACCAACTTGTTGGCTGTGATGGGGTTCACATACCCCATCCCTGGTTGGTAGGGAGATATCCATTAAGTGTGCAGTGATGTCCTTGCTCCTGATGAGGAGCAATGCCCCCTAGGAATGGCCACAATATTTGTAACCAGTGCAAAAGAGAGGGTCATGTGGAGGCAGCCTGAAAGCAATGTCTACTATAAGATTGGCTGCTTTTCTCACAGAGAGACCTGCAGAAAGTGCTGGGAGGCTCTCCAGTGGTACAGTCCTGGGTGAGGACTGGGTCAGGCTGATGGAGAGCCAGGTGGTGTTAGGAACCTACTCACTGCAACCCAAGAACAGAGAAGGCTGCTCCCAGAGGTCTTGAGGGATGGATTATTTGTGAACCCTGTTGACCAGTACAAGTGTTATTTTTTATTATGTTATAATAAACTAGACTTCGAGCAGGGGAACGTAATTTGAAATACATAGGATGTATGTTGCTTGGAGAGTCGGAGGGCAAGCTGAGGCAGACTGACTCTCCCATGATGGTTAAGCATAACCTTCCAAGAAAGTAATTCATGCCTTAGCCCCATGGCATATAAGCCCCTGCCTTGGCCCCATGCCATTCCTGGAAGTGGCCAACATGTCCGGCAGTGGCTCCTGGGGTTGAGGTGGGGCAGAAGGCTCCGCTGCGCGCTGCCCTCGCCTGCGGGTACCACCCCGGACTGCGGGGGGGGGAGTCTGCAAGTGAGGGCAGCGCACAGAGTCCCTTGCCCCTCCCCGCCCCCCCCACAGGGGCTGCAGGGACGTAGTGCCGGCTGCTTCCGGGAGCGGCACCGGGCCAGGGCAGGCAGGCAGGGAGCCTGCCTTAGCCCCGCTGTGCCGCGGGGCGGATTGAAAGCCCTGATGGGATGGATCTGGCCCACGGGGAGTAGTTTACCCTCCCTTGATCTAGGCACTACAGAGAAATGTTATGTTACTTTCCGTTCACTTTCTTTGCTTTGCCAGTTTGTGACACCGTCTTGCTGCTATGCAGCTTTTTATCATTGCATTTAATCCCTCTGGCTAGCTCCATGTAAGAAAAGTAATTCAGTACACAGTAAAATCCCAGTTTACCCAAACTCCTGTTAACTGAAGTTCCTTTGTATTCCCTGGAGTTGGCACTGCTTCACAGTGGTCAAGGTGTGTTATGGTCTAGCTTAGGGGCAGGCAAACTTATTGGCCTGAGGGCCGCATCGGGTTTCGTAAATTGTATCAAGGGCTGGTTAGGGGAGGGGGTCGTGGCCCGCCCCGCCCCCTCCCACCTGTGGCCCCCCCCCCCCCCAGACTCCTGCCCCATCCAACCCCCCCCTTCCCTGACGGCCCCTCTGGGACCCCAGCCTCTTCCACACACACCCACTCCCTGTCCCCTGACTGCCCCCGGACCCCTGCCTCCCCATCCAACCCCTCCTCTCAATCCTGACAGCCCCCTTCTTCCTCCCCCCCGGGACCCTTGCCCCATCCAACCACCCCTTCTCCCTGTCCCCTGACCGCCCCTGGAACCCCTGCCTCTGACTGCCCCCTGCCCGTCCCATCCAACCCCCCCTCCTTCCTGACTGCCCCCCAGGATCCCTGCCACCATTCAACCCTCTGTTTCCCCCCCGACCACCATCCACATCCACACCCCCGCCCCCTGACCACCACCTTGAACTCCCCTGCCCTCTATCTAACCCCCCCACTCCCTGTCCCCTTACCGTGCTGCCAGGAGCACTGGTGGCTGGCAGCGCTACAGCTGCTGCCACTGCGCAGCACCGGGTCAGGCCGGGCTCTGCAGCTGTGCTGCCCCAGGAGCTCAAAGCCCCACCGCCCAGAGCATTGCGCTGGCGGCAGAGTGAGCAAGCTGAGGCTGCGGGGGAGGAGGGGACAGCAGCGGAGAGGCCAGGGGCTAGCCTCCCGGGCCAGGAGCTCGGGGGCTGGGCAGGACGGTCCCATGGGCCCACCCCTGGTCTAGCTGGAATGCAGCCTCTTTGAAAGCCATGCTTTCTCAAACTAGAAGCATAAGAATTTAAATTTGTTTATTCCTCAGTTAGCAAGCATAAATAACTTGCTTTTACACTTGTTAGTGTGCACAATGGTGATTTCTTAGAACTTACTGTAATTATGAGCAGGCAGTCTGACCTATTGGATAGAGCACGGGAGCTCTGAAGACATGTGTCCTATTCCAGGCTCAGCCACTGGTCACCTGGGTGACCTTGAGCAAGTCAGTTCACTGCTTTCCCTCAGTTTCCCCATCTGTAATATGTAGCTAATGATACTTAAAGTGCTTTTAGATGTACTGATGAAAAGAGCTATATGAGAGCCTGGTGGTGGTATTGATTATTACAGTAATTATAACTTATGAGTGTACAACAAACTATCTTTTTTTTTTTTTTGTAGGTGAGAAGCCATTTACTTGTGAAATCTGTGGCAAGTCATTCACAGCAAAAAGTTCTCTTCAGACTCACATCAGAATCCACAGGTACAGTATAGTTTTGCTGTTTATTTTGTAAAGCTATTTATTTAGGAAGTTTAACAGGTTTAAAATTCTTGCCATATAAATGTCAAAGATAAAACGATCATTACAACAGTGAACTTTTGTTTAGAGAAATATACAGTAATATAATGATTGGATCTCTCTATTTAACAGGTTGTTACCTTATTACAGGATGAGCATCTTTACGCTACCCAAGAAGTGCATGATTTTTATTAAATTGAGTGAGTCTCTGATATGCAACTTCTAATCAAGTAGCTGTCATATGGCTTATATGACACTAGTAACCATTGCTCCTTAGCTGCACTTACTTGATGTGTGGGTACTGATTGATTACTAAATGCTGTGAATAGCATGTATTTGTTTTTTATTAAAATTTATTAACCCACTTTTGTGCAGCATATTTGAATCAGTGTAAAATTTTGCAGATTTTAATGAGGAAATTAATCAATGAATGAGTCCTATATCATATTTTCATGGTGGTTTTTACATTTTGAAGTGTTAGTAGGTAGTATTATGATAACTAATCTAGGCATGCTGTAAGGCTCTCCTCTCTGACAGAGTATTTCCACTATAATTGATGTGGTAGTGGTGATGATGATTTAACCAGAGGAGAGTAGGAAAGTCTCTAAAGTACACTAGTGACCTTGTCATGTAGTTTTAATTTATCTGGGAAGTTTATAGGTTCTACAGAAAACCCAAGTAAGTTAGAGCCAGTAATTTAGGTTGCATTTTTTAGAATGGATGTGATTTCTTTCCTAGTACAGTATTACAAGTAACACCTACGATTTCTATAGCTGAGAGATTAGGTCGGGGGGGGGGGGGGATTCTTTTCAGTTTTATTTGGTACATTTGACAACATTTTGCATGACCAGTTTCACTATAGTCAGTTTCTCCTGTTGTATTTGTAGATCTCTCTCTCAGCTAAAGAGGAGAGAAAAAATTAAACAAAATGGGTACACCTGTGTTTTAAAAGTCAGGTGTTCTTGCGTATCACAGATCCCTTGTTAATTTGAGGTATCAGACCTTACACCTGAAATGTATGCCATGTATCATGACATCAATCTGCTTTATTTTATATTTCTTTCACTTTAAAATCACAATGTACTGGATTAATTTCAATAGTAAACTTGCATCACTGTTCAAATGACGGATGCACAATTTCTAATTTTGTATTTGATTACTGCATGGGTGTAAATGTTATGAAGGTTCAGAAACATTTTGCTTGTGGAAGAGGGTTTTAATGCTCATGAAATATGCCAGTTTAATTCTAGTGTTACTGCAATACAAATAAATATTTTTTTAAGGGGAGAAAGCTACTATTTAATTACCTCATAAGGGTGTTTTGCGGTTATAGTCATGTTTGCAAAGTATTCAAATACTGCTACGAAGAGCTCCATAGAAAAGTCTATAAATAAATCCTTGATATCAGAAATAGCCAATAAGGGTCTCAGTGCCACTTTTGAAGATGGGGTTGTGTGTGCGTGTGTGTGTAGCGTGGACACTGCAGGGACTGAAATGAGATCACCCGTTTATTTCACATAAGCAACTAAATAGCAGTTGCAGTAATGCATTTTGGTCTTCACTGACTTGAGCTGTATTCTAAACAGTGATGTATAAAGCTCTGTATCCTGTTGCTAATGTCCTAATCCTCCATTCTCTTGGAAACATGTTTTAATCTGATCCTGCCAAATTATTCTGTGAGATACTGCTGTGTGAAAGGTTAAATATGAAGTTTACCTATTTCCCATTGTTCTTGCTTTAAAGTTTGTCAAATTCCTTTGGAAAGCTTGAAGAGATTCCATCTAATATAGGGCAGGGGCTGTCTTTATTTTTGTGTATTTTATAGCATTGAGTACACTGTCAGCACTAGACAAATAGTGATACCAAAAAATTTATAGGCTTCTCTGAGAGCAGAAGCAAGTTACTACAATCATAACTGTTACTTGATCATTTTCCTGCATGGCTTCTGTTGAGTGTTTCCTTAAATTAATCCCTGTAGCAAGTCTATAGCAGAGTTTTTGAACATAATACCAGTTTCTGTAAAAATGTAAACTATTACATTTGGCCTTAAACGTTTGATATAGATTATAATGCCTTGTTGTAATCTTATGGTGTTCAGATATTAGTGCTTGTTTTGGCATAAAAACGTCAAAAGAGAAATTTTTAGGATTTACTGTGTGCAATCTGACCAATTTATTTCCAATGGAAGTGTAAATATTTCATGTTCTTTACAGTATTTTCAAATGTATGTTAAAATGTGCATTGTTTACATAGAATTCTGCTTAACACTTTAAAGCAAAAAATGCAATAAATTGTGGAGAAAATTAGGCAGAGAGCTGGGGGAAGGTTTATTGTAGGTAGACTTGGGGTGATAAACTGTCTTAAATTTTAGACTGATTTTTGCAGAAATACCTTATGATCAGCTTTCCTCTGTTTTTTTTTTTTTTAAAAGGAATTGTCAAACCCTGTTTATACGTTGAAGGGACAAAATAAATGCAAATTAAAATTAATCCTTAATGATAGATGCTAGTAAAGATATAAAATAGATGAATTCTCTTATCACTCCAGTTTTTATGTCCCCACCCCCTTCCCATTTTGTCAAACCAGGGCTTCATAAAACTGAAAACCTCAATATTTCTGTATGAAGGCAGTCCTGTTAACTCTTGAACGTGAACAAATTAGGGGAAACTTTATCACAGTATTGTGCAATTCTTAAAAGTAAAATCTAGAAAATGTAGCACTGAATATTTTTCTTACATGACTGCCTGTAAGCACTACAATAGTATAGCAGAAATTATTATTATTTATTATTAGTGGTGGTGGTATTGTATTTATTATGAGTCATATACCAGGTAATACCTTGCAGAAAGCAGTAGTCTCAGAATTAGTATTTCTGATTAAGTAAAATATTCTCTTACAGAGGAGAAAAGCCATATTCTTGTGGTATATGTGGAAAATGTTTCTCGGATTCCAGTGCAAAGAGGAGACACTGTATCTTACACACAGGCAAAAAGCCTTTCTCCTGCCCCGAGTGTAATTTGCAGTTTGCACGCTTGGACAATTTGAAGTCTCATTTGAAAATTCACAGCAAAGAAAAACAATTGCAAGAATCAAGCAGTGCTCCTAGCAGCAGCAATAGCTCAGAGGAGGTCAGAAACATTCTTCAGCTGCAGCAATATCAACTGTCCACATCTGGAGGACAAGAGATTCAGTTGCTTGTCACAGATTCAGTACATAACATAAATTTTATACCTGGTCATAATCAAGGTATTAGTATTGTTACTGCTGAGAACTCCCAAAATATGACAACAGGCCAGGCTGCTAATCTTACGCTACTCACTCAACCACCACAACAGCTGCAGAACTTGCTTCTTGCAGCCCAGCAGGAACAAGTAGAACAAATCCAAAGTATCAATATGATGGAGAACCAAATAGAGACTACACAATCTGAACAAATGCATGTCATCACTCTTTCAAAGGAAGCACTAGCACATCTTCATGCCCATCAGGGGCAAACTGAAGAACTTCATCTAGCAGCAGGAGCTCAGCACATGCAGCTGACCCAGGAACCTAGTCGTCAGTCTCATACTAACCAAGATGCAGTCCAGTCCCATCAAATTAGTGAAGAACAGAACCAAAATGTACACATTTCTGAATCGCATCCGCAATCTTTGTCCATAAACCACCCATCTCATGAGCATCAGATTCAAGGTCAGGCTTTTTGAAATACAAGTTAGCATTGCTTCCTTTTAAATACTTGTTTGCCTTCAGGGAACTGGGCTGAAGTGTGCTGTTCATTTAGGCAATGACCTATGCATATCACATTTCATTTGCTGCAGCAGATTATCTATTTGAAGTTGTATTTCTTGGTGATCTTGATGGATGGCTTTGTTTCCTTTATTTTAATCCATTTATTTTTAGGGTTTTATTACTCTAGATGTCTGTTGATCAACAAGCATGGCTTCTCTGCAGGGGTCAAAATGACTATTATCTGAACTATAAATGTCAAGGTAACCAATATTTTTTTCACAACATTGACACCACATGTCTTATACTTAATGAGCTTTGTCTCTCTATGTAAATATATAATTTTCAGTGTGACCATTCCCTTAAGTGCATTTTAATTCATTGAATACCAAATTTGCTCATGCTTTTGATTGAAATTGATGCACTCATAGACTGGCTCTGGTTCACTGTTTCTGTTTACTGTGTTGTACAATTCCTGCTCCCCAAACAAATGTTTAAATCAGTGCACTTAATATAGAGGCAATGAGATGCAGTGGCTAGATGGACTACTGGAAAGCTTGAGTGCTATTCTTGGTGCTGCTACTGACTTGTGTGACCTTGGGCAAGACACTTAACCTCTCAGTGCCTTAGTTTCCTCATCTAAAAATGGGGATAATGCTTAACCACCTTTGCAAAGCACTTTGAAGATCTTCTAATGTAAGGCGCTATAGATGTGCAAAGTGTGTGGTTGGGTTTTTTTTCCTGACAAGACAGTCTTAGTTTAGGAGCCAGTTTATATTTTAAAATCATTATTTTTATATTTTGAAAGCAGAATGTCACATTACTTTTAACAAGGTAATATTTGTTCTTTGTTGTGACTGAAACAATGAATAAAATCACTCCAGAACATGAGCTACAAAATGGCGCATCTCTTAACAGATTTTTAAAATAGTGCAACTTTTTGTTGACTAGATTAGATGTGTGCAGTTTACATTACTAATGCCTGACTTCTAGTGGAGAAGTGCTGAAATGGTATTGAAAAAACATCCCAGAAAGAAAAGCTGGGGAAGAGCATGGCTCTACAGCTTGGGGTTCAGTTACTAATGATCTGTTACTTAATGCACTGGTATGTAAAAATCCTGATTAAAATATCATATGGCCAGCTACAGCAGTTTGAAGGTTGAGGCTGAGGTTAAAAATGCCATGTGATTTAAATAGGTATCTCGTATTTCTAGTTTTAAACATAACAAAAACCAACTTCTGTCCTTAATATTTATATTGGATTTTTTTCAAAGGAAGTTTCCTATGTAATTGGCTGTATGCACCATTGGCTAGACAGAAAGCCATTGGTATGAATTTTCATTTCTTGGCGTTTGCTTTGTATCTGCAAGATAGTTTTCAGCTAGCTACTGAGAATGTGTTACTGTAATTTGGGTAAAAAGTATATCAGTTTCTCCACGGAGCTGTACCAGCTTTTAAGTAAGTTGATGTGAGGAGGGGAGAAACCAATTTTAATTCTAAAAATGGCTTAGCTATTTAACCTCCAACTGTAAAACTATTGTGTTGATTAACCTGATTCATTACCTAAATTCCCTCACAAAATGGAGAAATACTGTCTATATATGTAATGTAGAAAGCCATTAACAAAAGAGAAATAGAATATAATGTAACTGTAATCCAGAAGCTAAAGATTTTGATGTTGCAAGAACCTAAAAAAAAAAAAAATTAAACTATCTGTTTTGTCTGGGGAAAATATTATTTAACATTTAAATAATCTTTACATAGTAAAATAGTTCTGATTGTTATACCATTGCAAAATAAAATTTGAGTCTTAAATATTGCAGCATATATAAAATGCAAGTTTTCACTTTACAATTGTATGGTGCTTCCCCTAGAGAAGCATTAGCAACTTTTATAACCTACATTTCTGGTTTATTCAGGATTGAGTCATGCTTATTATTATGTAAATTCCTAAATGTTTTGCAGAGCAAACTGATCACAGTTTTCTGAGATTAAATTCTAGAAGATTGTATAATGAAAAAATGCTGGTTATTCAAGTTCAAGAAAGAGCATATATATTGAACTTTTTAATCTTTCAATTGGTGGCTAAAAAGTCACTCATGATAGTACAAACTTATGGTAGTGGTTACTAGATATTGCCCGCACAAGAAGAGGGTTTCATTTTTATTGCATACATTTCAATAATTTGTAAAACTAAGAACTGAGAAGGCTATGAAAAGACCACCATCTGTGGATAGCAGGACAATGATTCTCTTTAATTTTGCTTTGTCTGTTGCTTTAAAAAAAATTGCTGTCAGTCCTTTTTTTCTGCTAGTTCCTGAGGATGGGAATCCATGTTTTGCTCATTTCCTTTAATTCTACCTTTCTCTTTACCACTAATTTTTTAATAGTAATTTCCACCCTGGAAAGAAATTAGTACAACTTACTGCGTGTACGCCTGAATCTTTTTGAAAATAATGCCTAATGCATTTGACTCTTGGACCTGGAAAAAGCCCCTTTAGCTTCAGCTCTCAGTTCAGAGTGACTCCCTGGTTGTACCTGGCTAATGCATCAGGTAGAGTGGTTAAAAAACAAATTTCTCCAATTATTTCTGCTGTCAAACTAATACTTTTTTTTATGTGACTTAACTACCTTACATATTGTTCAGTCTTGGTAAAAAGTGAGAGAGACTTGCCATGTTAAGATGAGTTTTTGGTTTTGGGATGTTGTCAGGATAATATTCCCATAATTAAGGTAAATGCAATATGCATAGTTACCACACTAGTGCATAGAAGATCAGAATTCCGTTTTGAGATTCAGGTCTCTGCTAAAACCACTCTAACTTAAGCTTTTGTTTTGTCATTATTTTCACAACTTTGCCTCGTTAAAGGGACACAGTCAGATTTTATATATTTTTTTTAATGTCCTTACATGTGATTACAGGTTCAAGCCTTTCACCAAGAATCAGTCCTATACAGCTCAAACACAGCTGGCAGTAGAAGATGCCTGTTGCTTTTACTCAGTTTGTAAAATATCTAGCACGCTTGGGTGCTATGTAAATAGTAATACTTGTACTGGTAGAGATTGTCCTTCAAATTTCAAGTTTTTAAAAAAAATTCTTCTCTTCATCTTGGAAAACTCTCCAGGTAAAAATTAAATATAAAATGGAGCTTTCACTGTTCAGTGTGTATTTTCTACTAATTTGCCACTACAGTCCGTGCAACAGTGGCACAGGAGAATCTCTTTAATATCATGGTCAAAACAAAAAGGTTTCAAGAATATTGTGTGTGTGTGTGTAGTTCCATTTAGGAACACAGAAATTACCATATCAGAACAGAAGGCCCTCTAATGCAGCATCCTGTTTCCAACAGTGGGTAGTACCAGTTGCTTCATAGGATTGGGTACAAGAACGGGATAACCATCCAATTAATGAAAGTTTCATCCTAACCTCCATTATGTAGAGGTTTGCTTTTAAAACTCTGGTATTCTTGTTTACTTATTCTTCCTTTTGTAATTCTGGATGTTCTTGTTACCTATATAAATGACCAGTTTGTTCTTGAATCCCACCAAGTTCTTGACTTCAGGGATATCCTATGACATTGAGTTCCACGGGCTAATTTTGTTGTCTGAAAAAGTATTTCAGTTGAAATTTGTTGCCTGTCAATTTCATTGACTGTCTTCTTGTTCTTGCATTATAAACATCTGATCTACCTTCTCTCTACTTTTCATTCTTTTAAAAATAAATACTGTACAGCACAATTTCTTCAGTATCCACAAAGAAGCAGGTTGCCAAGGGAAATATTTTTTTGCATAGATTTTTATTCCAATAAACAATTCAGATCTATACCTTACTATGAATAGGCCTGCAAGACAACGAATGCCAGGTGTGCCATTCTCCATTCTGGAAATGGATCATTGAAATGTATTGAGCTGAATTTTTTTCCTGTCAGTCATCCTGATTTAACATTGCTATTTGGCAAAGTGCTGAAATGCCATTGAGGTGACCACAGCGCCGGAAGAGGCTGGCGGTGTTGCCAAGATCTAGACCTCCTGCTGCTGGACCTATCTGAACGATAGGACTCCACCTCAGACTCCGAGGTCTCCGAAAAGGAAGACCACGGAAGAGTGGTACTGGGTGGTGCCGGGCCTCTGAGTATTAGTGCAGTCTCCCCACGTGGGCGGCCAGCACCGGGGAATGGCACAGCGGGGATGGGGAGTGGTGTGACCTCATCGCCAGCTTGCCCCTAGATTGGATAGGTGGTCGGGTTATCACTGGTGCCTCGTCCCTCCTTGGAGAAGGTGGTGCCATCAGGTGAATAAGGTCCTGCGCCGCCTCAAAAGTCTCTGGAGTCGAGGGGAGTTGAATGTCCTGGTCACGATGGTCCGGAGAACGGTAGTGGGCTGGACTCAACTGGACTTCTTGCAGGACAGTAGTCAACAAGCCCCTGGGAGGCACTGGGCCCGAAGTAGACTGGATGGGCTGAGCCCTCCCTGCTTCTGGCTCCTTAGGCTTAGGAGGGAGAAGAGCACCTCCTCTCCTGCCTCTTTTTTTCCTGGGACACTGGGGACAAAGATTGGTGCCTGCCAGAAGTCTTATGTTCGGCGCCGTGTCAGTGCCAGGAGTCCTTAGCCTACTTTCTTGGTGCCAGCTCGCGCGCCATTTGCACCAGTGTGCTGCACACACATAAGGAGGCATTCGGCATGGGCTCTGCCGACCCGGGATCAGACTGTGGATGGAGGGCTGCTTCCAGGAGAAAAATTCCGAGTCTCTGCTCAAAATCCTTAAGGGTCCTCAGCCGAAACCCCTTACAAATGCGGCACTTGTCCTTTTGGTGACTCTCGTCAAGGCACTTAAAACAAGAAGTGTGTGGGTCACTTGATTGGAATGGACATGAACAACACATCTTGAAGAACAACAGTTATGAAGAAGGTGAGTAGCTATTGTTTACTTCCTGTAATGCAGTTATCTATCTTGAAATTACAGGAAGACCTTCAACACCTTAGAAACCTCCAGTAAAAGGTAGAGATGGTTTAAAAAAAAACTGGATCTGTTTCTAAAATAATACTGAATTGAAAAAGTTAGACTGCAAAGTTGAAGCGTTGCACGATTTTATATACTAAATTAACTATATTGCAACACTTAAGCTTAAATGAGGATAGGCCGGAGCATCAGCCATATCCACCAAGCTTTAGCCTCGCTTGGCTGAAGACAGGTTTGTTAGATTAAGTTTTTAGAAGGATGCATCAGTTCGTGGACATACAAAAGGAAGACTTGTGTAATCTAAACAGAAGCACAATTAGCAAATGTGTGCAAATTTAGTTTTTAATATGCTATTGAATGCTAAATTGGATCCCTCCTTAAGTTTCATTCTTGAATATATTCCGGATACCAGGATGTTACCTGATAACAAGGCAGCGTGGTTCCAGTGTGCAGCTTTGGTCAATAAAAGTGAATCCTGCAGAAATGGAAACGTCGATTCCCACCAAATATTGATCTGTGGCTGTTATATGGCTAACCTAACAAATAATGGGGGGGAGGGGAAGGATAACTCAGTGGTTTGAGCATTGGCCTGCTAAACCCAGGGTTGTGAGTTCAATCCTTGAGGGGGCCGCTTAGGGATCTGGGGCAAAATCAGTACTTGGTCCTGCTAGTGAAGGCAAGGGGCTGGACTCGATGACCTTTCAAGGTCCCTTCCAGTCCTAGGAGATAGGATATCTCCTTTAAAAAAAAAAAAAAAAAAAAAAAGATAATTGGTATGCTGCGGAAAGGGAATGCCCAAAGAATTCAAAGCAATTTGGGCTGAATTTTTAGAGATCTAGGATTAACACAGACCCTGAAGATAGATATGTTACTTCCCCTTCCTTTATCCTAACTGTCTTCATTTACTTTTGTGTAGTATTATGAATCTGGTATTTTGTTGTATTTGGGAAAAATTATAAATGTATATTTTTAAATGCCCCATTTGCCTTCAATCTCCGTAGCACAGTTATGTATTACTCTGTGGCACATTAAAAATGTATAGGTCTAGTTCAGATGTTCTCAAACTGTGGTCCACAGACCACTCCGTTCAGGTGGTCCGCGGATAGTTCCCTCTAAGGTGCGTGCCTTGGCAGCTGCACACAAGAGAATGAAAGGCCACCTACCTGCGTGGCTCCACTAATTAGGTGCCTGGACCCTGGAGAAGATGCACATGTAAGGTGAGGTGGTGGCCTTGGGGGGAATGGGGGTAGGTGGGAGGGGGGCAGTGGAATGAGAAGAGGGGGTGGGAGGGTGCAGGGCTGCGGCAGCCAGAGAAAGAGGTGACTTTCCCCAGCTCCAAGGCTGCAGCTGCCAGGGAGAAGCAGCCCTCCTTCCTAGCCCAACTCTGTGGCTGCTGTGGTGGGGGAGAGAGGGAGACCCACCCACACACACACACACACACACACACACTCCTAAGCCTCAGCTCAGGGGCTGCCGTGGTGGGGGAGAGAGGGCACATCCATCACGTTAGAAAAGTAAGACTA